TGCGTGGCAGGACCAACAAACTGTCACCAACCAACTGCCACTGTTGTCGCGGACTCAGCCACCTTTCCGTTCCCTCCGCCAAGGTCTAATTGCGTGTAAGGTCTACTTGCAGTAACAGTGGGGTGCACCAACTGATATAGCTTTACGAGCATGGGTCTAAGTGTGCGCCGCAACAGGGTCCCACTGAGGTCTGTTGCGTGATCCCTACGGGGCGCGTTGAGCATAGACCCTCAAGGGGGAATTCTCTCTGATTCATCGTTGTGCAGGATTCTTCACTGATCAGCTGACTGCTCGAGATCGCAGATTGTATGCCGCAGGGCCACCTGTATTCGTCACAGAATGTTCATGACACTTCATGCCGCTAAGTAATCACTGTATATATAGTTTGCCACGTCATGCACCTGGGTATTCACTCATGCGGCTGAGTATTGACTTTGTTGCTTTGCTTCCACTTCCCACCCGCTTCAGAAGAAAGATTTTCATCATGCTTTAATTGATCGGATGCTGTTTCACAAAGTCCCAATGAAACACGAGTGCTCGAGACTGGTCAGTGTGCTGTGTGCGCGAGAATGAAGCACAAATCGTCAGATTGACAGTCACGTTTTACTTTGTCCAGCAAAGTTTTGAGATGCACCCACTTGTTGAGCCATATCATGAAGTTTCGCTTTCCTCCCCAAAAACCTCCCAAAACGCCTGCAAACGCCGGTTGACCTCCTGCATGAAACTCTCACCCACACTCACTCGCGCCCACCTTCACTCTCACTCACGCTCACTCACACTCACACTCGCACTCACTCACTCTCTCACTCTCACTCTCACTCTCACTCTCGCTCTCACACTCACACTCACACTCACTCACTCTCCCACTCTCCTCAAGCTCGCACTCCCACTCACTCACACTCACCCACACTCACTCACCCACCTTCAGTCTCGCTGACACTCGCTTTCACTCTCACCCACACTCTTTCTCACCCACACACACTCTCACTCACACTCGCACTCACTCACACTCACACACACACACACTCGCTCACACTCTCACTCCCTCACACTCTCACTCTCACGCAGACTTACTCTCACCCACACCCACTCTCACTCACGCTCACTCTCACCCACACTGTCTAGATCTCTAGACTTCCTGCTTGCAGACCTCACACACACTGTTGGGGCCTCTTGCCGGGATAATTTCAGAGTCAATCCTCGTTCTCCTATGCCAGTTGTGGGCAGGAGAGTAAATTAGACACTTACAGAAAGGGTCAAGTAAAAAGATCCTCATCCTCCAGAGGTTGTGTTTTTTTTTCATTTGTGGGAGAGGTTTTTCCAGACTCTTGCGCAAAGGTCTCACAACATGGGCATGTGTCTCCAAACAACCAAAACTCAACACAGCTCAAATTTGGGTCTATCCCATTACCTGTAACAGTGGGTGATGATGGTTAGTAAAGGCCTTGTCCAAAAATAGTCACAATTGTCTACTGACTGTTACAGGTAATAGGACAGACCCAAGCTCAAGTGTTCTAGGAAGAACCCTGAGACACACCCCGACTCGACTCTGAACTCGACAGTAATCCTCGATCTAGGATCAAGGGCCATTTGTGGGAAGTTGGGCGCAAAAAACCTTAAAACTGAACCTCTCGCAAGACCGACACCCGCGTCTCTAAAGCAGACGGTCAAGAATGTCGATTTCTTCCGGGCTGCGGCGCAGAAGAAAGAGATTCTCGGAGCGCTGCAACTCTTGCGAGAGCTCCAGGGCCAGCTGACAGCAGCAGTCTGCGCGTTGCAGCTCTGCCGCCAGCTGAAGGGCAGCGATATCTCCTCCAGAATCCACAAATTCTCACACCGCAGCAGGTCTTGGCTGAGTTCAAGCGCCTTTTGCCGGTCCATCAATCCGAAGACGGACAAAAACGCCCAGCTGCTGTTTGGATAGAGAGGTTTTCTCTTGGCGCTTTGGGACTTCAGGAGTGACAAAACATTTGTCGGACTGTGGATCGATCCTGACTGACTCCAAAGGGTTTCTTCAGTTTCATCCCCCTTGATATCCCTAGAGCAGCTCGAAAACAGACAATATGACACGAAAGACAGCGGAACAGCGCCGCGTCCGACCCGTTAGAGAGCGTCAAGTAGTGTGCCTGCCACGCAAATCACGCCGGCAGAGCTGCGGCGACCCAGCGACACCAGCGCGTACATCCAACCCCTTGGAGAGCACCAAGTACCGTGCCTGCCATGCAAATCACACCGGCAGACCCAGCGACACCAGCACGTACATCCGACGCCTTGGAGAGCACCTTGTGGTTGGCTCCGCGATATCACCCAGCTTCATTGGTCAAGGTTGATGATCCCTGCTTGCTGTACAGACTACATCATCGGCCAGTTAGTTACTTCAAGCCAACTTCGGGGGATGTGGTCGTTCTCCATGGAGACAGTAGTTGGCACACACATGGAACGGCAAGGTGAACAGTCAGTTCACTTGTAGGTGTTTTAACAAAGCTGCAAAAGCGGCTCGACAGCGGCTGCTCGCGACGGCAGTGGTTTAGGGCTTAGGGGGTAGGAATATGAACCGCCGTGAAAGCAAACAGCAGCGCAGGAAAAATGAGTGTGTTGTCACGGCGCAGGTGCGTCACTGGATGTCTCCAGTCATATCCTCAGGACACTGCAGAGAGCTTTGTTAAGTGGAGCTCTGCAGGCCTGCTCCACTCCCCTGCTTGAATGAGTCTGACAACGAGTGGGACCCTTTAGTACAGAAAGGGACACGCACAGAGCGGCTTTGCGGCGCGCACTTGCAGAGGACTTTTCCGCTCTCAAACGCTTGCTTAAAAGGCAACAGCGCAGTAGACAGCTTGGTAATTACTTAGGTTCTACGACGGAGTGAGTACTTAGCCCTTTACTTGACAACTTAAGCCCTTGACTAAAAAGCCTGGTTATGTACCTAAAAGCCCTCTAGCGAAAAGGCAAACCTAGAAAGAGAAACAAAAAGGCAGGAGAAAAAGAACCGAAGCCGAGAGGCAGGGAGACGAGCCTCAAGAGCAACCTAACAAGCCTGAAGAAACAACTAACAAACAAAGCCGCAAGAGAGAAAGAGGGCGGGGGTGGGGGGTGAGTGAAAACTACATCGATCAACCACTCAAAAACCGTTAGGAAAGCCATGGGCCCGGCGGCATAATTTCAGTTGACTCATGAAAGACGATTGAGCTGTTAGGAATCTTCTCGAGCAAGCGCGGATATGCAGTTAGTGGTAGTCCGGTCTGGCTTCAGCGCCCCTTGCGGGGATCACACCACGCAACCAAGTGGGAAAGCGTAGCAGAACACACTTCGAAAGCTGCAAAAGCGGCTCGACAGCGGCTGCTCGCGACGGCAGTGGAAAGGTTTGCAGCTTAGGGGGTAGGAACATGAACCGCCATGGAAGCAAACAACAGCGCAGGAAAAATGAGTGTGTTGTCACGGCGCAGGTACATCACTGGACGTCTGCAGTGATATCCTCAAGACACTGCAAAGAGCTTTATTAAGTGGAGCTCTGCAGGCTTGCTCCACTCCCCTGCTTGAATGAGTCTGACAACAAGTCCAAAAGAGTGAAAACGCGTTTGCGCTGGCGATCTGCGCGAGCCCCATCTCGCACGATCTGCGATCCCGCGGTCTCGCGCCTGGCTGGGCCAATCGTCGGATCTCCAGTGGCTTGACGCCGGTTTGAGCCCCGATGAGTTCGCACGAGCGGCCGGATGAGGACGGTGAAGCGAAGCGTCAAGCGTCTCGCAGGCGTGTGGCGAGAGACGCGAGACAGCTGGGACGCGAGACGGCTGGGTCAAGGGTGGTTGGGGGGGCTGCGAGGAAGAACCACCATGCCATAGTTTGGGTGTGTATTTGACTGGGAAGACCTACAAGCAGCAGACTGGTCGAGGTTTCCTTCCAGCAATTCGAATTCAGTTTCCCTTTCGTGAGGGTGTGGAGATGCGGTTCGAACTCTCCAGCTTCGCCAAGAAAAGGGAGACCCAAGGAGGTGAGTTGATTTGAGAGAATCATCAGGAACCCCATGCCTGAATTACCACCTGATCCTGATCTGTTTAAGGCAAGTCGCCTTTCGTATCAACTCTTTGGACACCATGCTAACATGCCAGGTGTAAGGCTACTAGGTTACTATATACTACTGACATGCTCACAGCTCACTTCACCCATTCGTTGACCTGCGTGGATGCTTCTGTCCTTGTTGCCCCCCAGCCCCCCTTCAGAGGACTGTGGTTGTTTGGTGCAGATTCACCGATGTGCCTGTTCCACATCAACCCTGGCCCTGCCCAGAGACGACCTTTCTCGGGTCCAGCTGCATGTTGGAGGTCCAGTTCACCCAAGGTGTGAGGTTCAAAACACCTAGCAACCTGAGGGTCCAATGAGCTCTTGGGGTGCCCCAAACGGACACACACGCGAAGCTAGAACAGCTGAGGCTCCTCAGGCCCAGGAGGGGTTGTTCGAAGAGGTCCCGATGGACCGGTGCGAAAAGGACTTGGTGAGAGCGAGCAAGTTCTACTCGTCGCGTCGCTGTGCCGTGATTGTGGGTCCCAGCCAAGCCAAGCCATCAAGCCAGAGTGACCTTGGCAGGTTTGGTCATCGGACTGACACTTGGATTTGCTGTCCAGGTGCCGGGAAGAAACAATGATTCAGCAAAAGAGGATTCATCCATGGGGAATATTAATAATCACCTTCAAAACCAGGGACATCTGTCCAAAGAGAACAGATCCGCAAATCCCACGGTCAGTTTGTTGCTTCTGGCATCCACTGACCCCACCCCGGTCACAGGTGCTTTTGTTCAAGCTGCGTCCTGCCTCCCCTGAACAAAGCAGTGCAAATCCCTGTCATCCACCCAGCGCCTCCAAAGGGTGTCCAATGGTGACCTATAAGCAGTGTAGAGTTGGTAACCCCTTGGAAGCAACTGGCATGTTCTTCCCAAATCAGTTATAAGCCTGGCTTCCAAGGCTTCACTTGCTTCCTGCTAAACATTCCATGCGTCACGAGACCAAGCCCCGCCTCGCACCCCGCCACACCCCCGCCCACGCAGCCACGCTTTTTGGAGCAACGCACCACCGTGCAAACCTCTGAAGACCTCCGGTCTCATCGGAAGGCCGGTGGCCGCGGGATGCCCACCAACGGAGGCCTTAGACCCGGCTGCGGTGCGCTGTGCGCTCGGTCGATCCGTCGGTCGTGGTGCAGCAGCTTGGGTGTTGGCTTTTGGGAAGACCATGAGACGAACCGTGGATCGCCCATTGTTCACCGCCCGACATGAAGGTCCCAGATTCAGGTTCACCGAACTTTCTATCTGTTGATGTTTTTTTAAAGTATATATATATGTCTATACATTGACCCCCCAAATCACTCCAGCTGAACGGCATCTTCTTGGATTTGCTGTCCAGGAGCAACACATACACATTCTTTCCACGCCAGGGGATTCACCCAGGATCACAATCACCTGATCCGCAAAACCAGGTCTTCCATACATGCCAGTTCACCAGAACATCCCCCCAAGATGCACTGGATGCACGCAGGAGTAGCTAGTAGATGCTAGTAGATTTGTTTTTGGGGTCCTAGTTCAATTCACTATAGTGTAGCAGCCGGTAATAGAATTGGACCTCCCTGAATGGAAAAATAACCTGGCTGTCTTGCTTGGAGGGTCCGGGTGTCCTAGGTGCTGCTGCTGCAGGAATTCTAGCAGGCGCACCAAACTTGTTTGGGACTCGGGCGACGGTGAATTGGCACAAGAAGGATCACCCTCTTGCTGAGTTGGGTCTATCCGAGTCTATCTGGGCCCAGTGGATGATGATGGGCCGAGGTTGTCGTAGGCCTTGTTCACAAATGATGATTTGCTTGTTTACTGACTGTTACAGGTAAGTTCGGACAGACCCTAGTTTCACGTTGGGTCTATGGACATCTTCTAACTCTGAGCTGATCATGCGCAAGCAACTTTGGGTCGTCCATCTGCCCAAACATCAGAGGGCTATGATGACACCCTAACAGCTACAATCAGAACTTCTCTCGATCGGTTGCATGTTTAACCAGTGAATGTCCTGAGACCAAACATAAACACTCAGAAACGATCAGTTCCTGGAAAATCTACCTGGTAGACATTCCTGGAGAGGTCGAGGCAGCCCTTTACTATAAGGTCCCGGGTCAGATTAGTTCAGGTCTCTCAACCACAAACAAACACATACCTTAAGTCTCGCCGCTTGGTTTTGCTTAAGGAGTTACATAGGGAGTTACATGGATTACCCTACCAGTATACAGGGAAAATCACAAATCACCTGGAGCAAAACCAGGTCAACTACAAACAAACACATACCAGGACCTTCCAAAGGGCTGCCCTGGCTGGAAGCCCCTACACTACACCACTAAGGGACCTCCAGACAGGACACCCCCTTGAAGGTCCAGGTACTTTCAGTCCAGTCGTCGCCGAGTCGCGGGGTTGGAATCACGGCCACTGAGAGGTCGTACATGTCGGCGACATGTTCCTCAGCGAGGAACGAACGACTCGGCGCCAGAGCGAAGCGCAGCTCACAACAAAGCAGCCCTCAAACGCTGCTTAGTGAGGCCGACCGTTTTTGCGCATGCGAAACTTGGCAAAACATATCAAAACAACAAGGCAAGAACCTGGTCAAGAACTCTTCTTGACGCGGTGATCTGTCTCTATTCCATTGGAGCAACCAGGCTCAAGTGGAGCCTTTGGTAAGGAACCCATTGTCTTGGGCACCGGAGGAAGCTTAAGAGGGTGTTGCTGTTTGCAGATTGATCAGCTCGAGCAGGGCGTCTTCAGAAAACTTCATTGTGCCCTGCAAACTGCGGGATTATGTGATCCACTCACAGCATCGTAACTGCCACTCCTGGCATTCTTTTGGACGCCATGGGGGGCCTCGCCGCCGGCTTCGTCGGCATTGGTAGCCCCTCTGAATATCACGGCACAGCCTGCATAGGTGGGCCAGCCTGGGAATGCTCTCCCCCAGCCCAATTCTCTCATCCAAAGTTACAAAACCAGGATTGTCCACTGATCGGAAGCAGCGGTTTCGCATGGCGCCACTGCCAGGAAAGCGGGAGGGTTCAGACATCAGGGAGACTGCTCTTGGTTCATGTGATTGTCATCGGTTTTCGCCAGCTCTCCTCTGCATGGCAGCCACTGTCTCGTCTTCTGCCCAGCAATGTGGGCGTAGCCAGGCTCACGCTCGAGTGGAACGGAACCCTAGCTGCCCTTCGCCCCGGGCCGTTTGGAGGCGGTGCATGTCCAGTCTGTTCTCCTCAGACAAATACTCCTGTGGAGATGCAAAATCAGCTGGGTTTCTGTCCCGCCATCCACGACCGAAAAGCCCCGCAAATTCCGAGGAAAAGTCACCCGCTTTTCGTGCCCCGTAGATAGTTGATCCACATCTCACTACTTGACCAAGATTTACTTTGACTAGAAAACATGTTCAGAAGACATTGTTTTAATATGTTTTAATTTGTTATCCTGTGATGTTCTTGTACTTTGTAGCATATTACTAGATTTGTTAGCAAAGGATTGATTGGTCAGCAAACAAACTACAATACACACAACCAACAAATACAGTTGGATTAGCTGATTCAGAAACAATTGCTTGGCGCAATAAAAGCCCCAGCATGTCCACGAGCCCACAAGATAATCATCTAGTAGAGTCCAAAAAGAGACCGTCGGAGGTATGGGCGATCACCTTCAAAGGGTATGGTCAGTCATACTTCTTGGAATCTCTCCTGTCTGATACGGTGGTGCCCAGGTTCTGGGCACCGTCCGAAGAAAGCAATGGCCGAACCATCCACATCTTCTTCGGGATCCCAAAGAGTGGCACCAACAAACTGAAGTTGGCACCGAAGTGATGGCCCATCACTTGAAGCTCAAAAATCATTCGAAAGAACACATCGGGCACCCATCTTTCCCAACTGCTCCGTTCACTGTGAGTCTATACTGAGTTTCTGGGACTTCTCTATCCATCCATTTCAATTTCACTGGTCGTTTCAACTCGAAGACCTCTCGGCTTCGACTGAAGACCACCGAGAGCTGGGCCGAGTTCTTGGCAGAGGCTTCTTGCCACCCCAGGGCCTCGGTTCTCGAGGAGGTCGGAGGAGGAAGTCCAGGACTGCGTGGATGATCTGTGGATGATCTGTAGATGATCATGTCGACTGTTGATGAATCATGAATCAACATATGAATAAATATGATCAAAATTTACTTGGTACACATGAGTTAGGACTTTGGTGGTTGGACCATGTTTTGCTAAGACTCATGGTTTTGGGGATGTTTTTGGTGAACCTCCGCTATATAACTCCTACTCCTAGGTCATGAGTACACAGGGGCTCATTCCTTCGCGTTTGGGCCTGAGGTGTGAAGGCATGTTGCTCGTTCGTGTGGATGTTTTTTTGGGGGATCAAGTCTATTGTAGACTGTTAGATGAATAAACCGCCCGTATGAAGAGGATGTCCAAATTAAAATTGGTGGTGCTGTTATTAGTCAAAAGTCTACTTTCGACTCGGTCTGTTTTGACGGATCGAGTGACTCTGAACAATTCTGCCGAGCCCTCTTCACTCGACTCACTCACCAACTTCAGAGTCCCAGTGCCTCAGCACCAGATGTTTTCAACCTCGAACAGGTCAAGAAAGAGGACATGATCGGCAATAGGCCACTACTGCCGTCACTACTGCCGTTCAACATGGTTCAACGGTTCAGAGGGACCGTATGGCGCGTAAAAGCGCGGCCCTTTTGGAAGGACGGTTGTTGGACTGATGGGTGACTGGTGGGAACTAGAAGTTCAGAAGAATGGTCAAGACATGTCAATGGCTGTGGGTCTTGGGTGCCCCGATCTCACCCTGGTAGGACCTCTCTGGTAGTCCGTTCATTCTTGGTGGTCAACTCCGGGTGGCCCTGTTTTGACTCACAGCCACATGTCGTTCACATGATGTTTGCACCCACACTTCGCTGAGAGAGGTGAGCACCAAATGGACCCCCGAAGATGGACCCCCGCGCGAGTGTGCCACCCGTCTCTGATCCACCTCACTCGATGGATTGCGCACTTGAAGCGGAATGGTTCCCAACAGAGGTGGGTCACCCTAGTTCGACTGTCCCAGGCCAGGGTACCCCAGGTTATGGGTCCTAGTTCAGGTCACTTAACCTACCTTTTTGTTGGTCTTTTTCCAAAAAGCACCGGGGAGGAGACACCAACTCTCACGACCGACAAACCCAACTCTCGGCTGCATGGGCGGCATCGTCTTCGTCAATGTCGACCGGGCCCGGACCTATCTGGTTCTACCTGGTGGACTGGTACATGGTGGGCTAAGCTCCAGGTTGAACCCATCCCCCAATACAACTTGAGGCCAAGGCGGGGGGGCAAAAGCTAGCGCTCCAGAATGGGAAAGTGGAGGGCAGCGAGGTAGGAAAAAACACGGCGCTCTTTTTTGCCCGGATCCTCCTGAGAGAGAAGAGAGAGAAGAGAGACGGAAAGACGAGAGACAGAGAGGAGAGAGAGAGAGAGAGAGGAGAGAGAGATGAGAGAGAGATGAGAAAGAGATGAGGGAGAGATGAGAGAGAGATGAGAGAGAGATGAGAAAGAGATGAGGGAGAGATGAGAGAGATGAGAGAGAGATGAGAGAGAGATGAGAGAGATATGAGAGAGATGAGAGAGAGAGAGA